TTTAGGTAGGTGTGGCTGACTCTTAACTTTTATAAAGAATATCTCTTTGGATTTGAGGTTTTAGTCTTTGCAACTTTACAGATCTTCTTTATGCACCAAGAGCTTGTAACACTCCAAAGAGAAAGGAAAAATTGAAATTGCATCATATGACCCCTTTAAATTAAGTAGTAATAGTTGTGATGTAGGAATTACAACAATGGGGGGAGGGGGTACTTTTTATTGCAATACATTAATTTTTGTAATGTAAACTGCATTTTCTTGTAAATAAGTAAACTGCAGTGTACCTGTCATTGGGCCACATGGCTACATGATTGTAGAGGTAATAGGTGAGATGGTTTGGCACCAGATCTTTCCCTGATACTCTGACATCTACAGGGTACCAGAACTCAAACTCCCTCCTGAGCTTCTGCAGCTTTTCCTTTGGGATGTCCGTCTTTGGGAAAGGTGCTGTTTTGAAGAAGATGTAATCCCACACCTCCCTCGTCATCTGCTCGGCTCTAATGGGAGGAAATGTGGTTTTCTGTATCACTTTTTTGTGGATTACCATTTTTATTCAAGTAACAATGAACATGTGTGGCAGTATATTCAGACATTTCCCATGTTATTTTTGTTCTCAATTTGATTCACAGCGAGTCTGACACATTTTACGTAAGCTTTATCTTTCAATTCTCACAATTTTTACTCAATTTGATAGCATATTTTCCATGATATATTTGCTGGATTCTTTATCCGAACACTGTGGGGTTGTTAAATGCAAGCAGATATTAGGGTACATGATTTTATTACTTGTTAAATTCATCTTAAAATAAATATATTACCTATGTTATCTATGTTCTAAAAATTAAGTTAAGATACAAAGTCCATTTGTAAAATTTACTTTTTAATTATTGTACTATATAAAGTACTGCAGTGATGGTGCACAAAAAATATGATTATGTTTTGTTCACAAATGAACACAACTTTTAATAATTTTGAATATTAAATATAATCGGCAGCAGAAAAAAGCTAGACATAGGCTATAAACAAACCGCACCACAGTCGCATGACTTCAACGGCACCACCATTAAGCATTTTTTTAACTAGAATAGTTTGCATGAGTGTGATTATTTACACAATGAGGTTGTAAAAGTGGAATATATGAGTTTTCCTCTTTGGTGTGATGCCGTTTAATGTCCCTGACAACCACAGTAGTCCCATTTAGCCACCTGCTAGCAACCTCCTTTTTCAAGAGAAGTAAAAGTTTTTAACAAGAGGGTATTACTGGTGTATTTTATCATGTCATGTCAACAAAAAAATTTAACTATCTGGAGCTCATGTTTACCACAGATGTTATTTTCAGGCATTTAATCAAAAACACATTCAAAAAATCTATTGACTTCAGAATGATGGATCCAGAAGTGTTAAAATGCTCATTTTTGGGTTTTGGCCTACAAAAATATGTCATCCCTGCAGCACTCCATTTAATCTTTAAAGTGATTCAGTGACTACCTGCCCCATGCTGGTGGTAAAAGGTCAAGTGTTAAGCTGAATAAATGGGGAAAATGGGTATGATCTATATATAATATAAAGAAGTAGGGGTGGGCAATATACCGGTAGACACTATTAACCGGCAGAAATTTGTCAACGGTAGAGATTTTGGACTATTGTCTCTATATCGTGGTTATACGCTCATGTGACGTTGCTGTGCTACGTGGAACGTGGTCACGGAAACTTCTGAGTTTACACACGTTTTTAAGCATTGCGGTTTAAAAACAAGTGATTTTAAGCTGTTGAAATGCAATCAGCAGCAAAATGAGGTGCGCACATGTGAAGACGCTGCTCATAGAGTGTGGGAGTATGGAACAGAGTTATCTTTGCCACTTTATAGACCTTGAATGGTTAAATACACACACTTGTTGCAAGTGAAAGCAAACAGCTGAGAAAGAAAAAGCGTGTGTAACAGTATACTAGATCCGGGCAGCTCTTAAAGTGACAGCAGTCTAATATTCCTGCTGTCTGTCATTCATGTTAATCAAACAACAAAAGAGAGAAAATCTCTCACTGCTCTTGACTAAATCACTTTTGTAACTTTAATAAGAAGAAATATATATTTAACTTACACAGTGAAGAATATGCAGTGTTTTTATTCATTTGATTATACAATGTATGTAGCATTTCTTATTTATTCGTTCTACTGTAGCTTATTTTTGTCCTATTTCTTGTAATTAGCTTATTATTTAATTGCTGACTGTTTACTTGTCTTCAGTGAGCTTGAGTTTTTTTTATTTTAATTTAGGCTAATTTTTGTTTTTTGTGTGTAATATTGACACTGGTGACAAGAATTACGAAATTTCTATGGTATCAAATTTTGATATCAAAGACCTTATTTAAAGCAAAAATAACTATAGTTATATATCATTGCTGTGAAATGAAATTACTCACATCGTGACATAACATTTGGTCATATCGCCCACCCCTATAAAGAAGGACTCCAAAATCCAAACAATCATTTCAAAATCTTTTACGTTTACATTCTTGTTTTTCCATCAATCACCTTTCCTCATTCTCCTGTTTAACTGATCTTCATCCTACAAAACCTTGCATTACATAAATCTGGTAATTAGAACTGTCTTGTTTATTCTATAATTCACATTGTTTTGCATTTTTTAACTGTCCTACTTTTTCCGCAAAAGCAAATAATACCTGATTCCCAGTGGCGAGGGTCCTTGTCCGTTGAGGACCCCTCCCTGGAGGAGATGTGCCACGGTGTAGTAAGCCATATAGATTGTGGAGTCCGACAGGGACTCAATGAGCCATTGTTCATCCCATGGCAACCGGGTTCCTATGGGAACCAAACACATAAAAGAAGTCCAAAATCAAAGGTACTCTCTAAGGAATAGAATGAAAATTGCTGATGGTATCGCTGAGTGGTTTGGGGGCAAGGGAGGAGCGAGGAATAAGAGTATTACAAAAGAAATATAGATGGGCCTTGTCCTTACAAAACCACTTTGATTAAGATAAGCTTCACACAAAGGCGGCCATCTGAGGTGATTTCAAATGGATGTGTGCAAAGAAAACTTTGTGCAGTTTGCCTAACTATTACAAGCAATTTATTTCAAAAGAAAAATCCAACAGGATGCAGGAAAAGCTGGCAACAAAGCTTGTTAACTACAGTGACACACAGATAAGCCAGTCTTACCTAGCCCATACGATCTGGAGCAGGCATGTTCCTGAAGCCAAGCCAATGTTGCTTCAAAGTTCTTCCTGGTTTCGTCACAGAACCTGAAGAGCAAAGCATACAGTCAGTATTCACGCATTCATACAGTCTCTCTAGCAATAACGGTGCCACACAGCAACTTGACAATTTCCACTGTAATCTCCCGATGCCACAAAGTGTGAGACTTACGTCTCAAGAGCCTCCAGGACGCCCGTAGCTTGCTTTTTCCATTCCTCATTGCCATAATCCAGATACCTGACAGATAGAGAGCCCAAGTCAAATCGATCAGGGACGCCTCAAGGCAAGTCACCACCACAACAAAAAACGACAAAAATCCCACAAGATCACAAGGGCATGATTTAATTGAAGAGGGAGTGAATATACTACAAGATGGTAGTAGATGTTATCATGTGTTCTGAGATAAAATAGTATGTAGCATCTGTATGAGAGTGTTTTCTGCACTGACCATTGATCACACAATGCCACAACACACTCGTCTGCCGACCGAGATAACACCTGCTTCTCCGGCTCCATGTAGACCATCGCCTCACCCTAACAAAATAAATAAAATAGGGTTAGACATTTTTTTTTGATACCTTATAATAAAAAAAAAAGATTCGCAACTCATAATTAAATGTTCAATCATAAACCCCACAAAGCCTACTGTATCATATATAATTCACAAACTTTTAAGGCCTCTAAATGATTAACAATCAAAAACCTGTTGTACACAATCTACTTGCTTAGCGAGTAAAAAGGCTATAAGTATAATTTTAAAAACATCCACCTTCAGGTTGTGATGCAGGTTGTGTCTTTTTCAAATCATTATACACTTTATAAAAATCATTAAACAATGTAGAAAAACAATTTTATTGGTATAGCAATATTTTAAGATGAACATTTACCAGACTAAAGGTTTACTTGATTATCCAAAGAAAATGGTTTAGAAAAATCATGCTAAAATAGGAGTATCAAATAGATCAGGCTTTAGAGGAATATTTATTTGTACGTTCATCTCCCAATCATTGCTGCATTGCATTATATTTTTTGCCCCCACATTAAAATCTACAGAGCTTTGATTTTAAAAAAAAAATGAAAAAACCTACGCATTTAAATACCATCTTACAAAATTTGTATTGGGAGATTTAGAGTGACAACTAAAAATTGAGAAAATGGTTTTAACATTATTTTTTCCTTTATTTAATCATTTTTTCCTTAGTTGGATATCGGTTTTGTAATACTGAACTGTAAACGGATTGCAAATCTATTTTTTTAAAGTCTCTAAATTCTGTTAACATTTACTATTTATTTCACTAATAATAATCATTTATGTACTTATACTTCTGTGGAAAATAATTTGCTATCTCAAGTGATTGCAATGCTACAATCAGAATGTCATCTTATTTTTGGCCATATACACAACAACTGCACAAAATTAAATATTTCAGCTCAGTTTGGGGCCCTGAATAATACTGGGGCATTTTTTGTTTTTTTCTTCCTTGTGTATGAGGCAGTGTTAATTTTGAAAGCAAATTTTGATTTAGTTTTAGTCATAGTCTTTTGACTAAAATGCCATTTAGTTTTAGTCATCTGAATTGTTTTTAGTTTTAGTCGACTAAATATCATAAGATTTTAGTCGACTAAATCTACAGTAAATTTAGTCGGCTATAAAAACTAATGGGTTTAGTTACAGTGCATTTATTAAGCATTTCTCTAAAATTCCCAAACTCATTATATAGGTTTGATATTAAGGTTTTATCATGATAGATGATTTAACTGCGGAGACGCACAATAAGCCTTTATGTTAAAATTAAATAAAACCACTTCTCATAAAGAACAAGAACATGGTCTTCTTTTTAATTAAATACCAATGGCTATATAGGCTAATTATGCATTCTTTATAACAACATTCTTCATTCTTTCAAGCAGACATATTTATTTCTATAAATAAATTTAGATTAATTTTTAGGGCTACTAAATTTTTTCAGTCAAGAGCAGTGAGTGATTTTCTGTCTTTCTTTTGTTGCTTGATTAACATCAATGACTCAGACAATAGCAACTAAATTAGGCTGCTATCCCTTTAAAACCGAATGCACAGCTGAAATGGATGCAATGCATTGAGACACATTCACCCTACTGTTTACGTGAATACTCATCAAAACGGACAATTCAACATCATTTTGTGTGTACTTCAGTGTCTGCGCTCAGAAAACTGGACCGAATTGAGTTCTCTCTTGCATCATAAGATTTACCCATATGTCTGCTCTTCTCTTACGCCCACATATTGACATTTTTTTACGTTTTATGTGACGTGCAGCAAGTGTATGTTAGCTTATGTCCTGCCGGTTCATATGTACGCATCTAACCTCCGAACCACACAGCAGATTCGTTCTGAATGAATCTCTTCCCAAATCGTCCCTCCCTAACATTTTCGTCTCGTTTTTATTTGTTGACGAAAATGTCAATAGATTTACGTCATAGTTTTTGTCATTCAAAAAGAGATTTAGTTCGTTATAGTCTCGTTGTCGTCGGTGAAAAAGATGTCGTTGACGAAAATTATGACGACAACGAAATTAACACTGGTATGAGGTCCATATTGTCCTATGATATGGGCCATCTACACTGTTCCATTTAAAACAAGTTCTGACTATTATTTCATGTCATGTATTACATATGGTCCACCAACCTTCTCCACCATCATCTTCTGAATGGGCTTCTTAACATCCTGGACCTTCTGTCCCTTGAAACCCTCCACTAACATGATCTGGCAAAACAAAGTTCAGTGAAGTTGTTCAGATCTTCACATGTAGGAATAAGCTGTCATTTAGCAGATACCTAAAGCAAACACACAGTACTCTAACCACCAACTTTAGCATCTAAAACAAGCATATTTCATGAAGTGCCCCTATATGCATTCATCTATGTTACTACTGTATATTAGTGAAGAAAATGATGATGTGATGTTGGTGTTCAGATTGTCTTACCCCTTCATAAAAGCCCTTGAGGTAGACCTTCTCTTTGGCCTCAGCCAGTTTCTCTCTGTCATTCTGGCTTTGGATCTTTAGTTCATCACAAACCAGAGGAGCCGACAGGTTCCCATAACCTGGAATCTCAATGATGGGTACCTGGTAGAACAGAAAGCCATAAGCCACTTCAGACACACAGAATCTAGGATGTTTTGAAAAATAACTCTGACAGGCACAGCAAGGCAAATGGCCTTTTTATAAAGTTGTCAATAGCTTATGCACTAGTTTACATTGCAAACCCAGACTTGATGGCTATGAAGATTAATCAATTATAGCCACTTTCTTGAAACAGTGTGGTAATCGGTGTTTTCTAATCTATTTTAGACCGCAACATTAATAATTTTAATAACAAGTCAAGCAAATCAAAATGTAATGTCTTTACTGATTTGTTTGCTACTTTCCCAATAATGCATAATTTAAAGTAATTTTTAAAAACTAATTTTAAATAAAAAAATAATAAAATCAATGATTAGATTTATAAAAAAAAAGTTGATAGGCTCCCTTGTGATTTATGCTCTCTAAATGAAAACAGACTTTGTCCATTTATTTTGCTTACTGTTAATATCAATGTTGCTGTTATTGTTGGACAAGCATGCCATGTTTTTATTTATTAGTCAGAAAAATCACATTACATTTAGAATGACATTTTTTCCCCAAACTGTGCAGCCCTACTCAACAGTATGGAAGTACTGCAGTACATGTATTGTTAATATTTATTTTAACTAGTGCTGTCAAACGATTAATCGCTATCCAAAATAAAAGTTTTGTTTACATAATATATGCATGTGTGATGTGTATATTTATTATGTATATATAAATACACACATGCATGTATACATTTCAGAAAAATAGGTTGTGTTTATATATTAAATATATTTATTTATAATATAAATTATATGAATATAAATATAGACATGTAAATAGTTTCAAAATATATACTGATATATGACACACACATATATACATAATACTGTTATTTTATAATTAGTGCTGTCAAACGATTCATCGCGATTAATCGCATACAAAATAAAAGTTTTTGTTTGCATAATATATGTGTGTGTTCTTTGCATATTTATTATGTATATTTAAACACACACACACATACAGTATATATTTTGAAAATATTTACATGTCTATATTTATATTCATATAATTTATATTATAAATAAATATATTTAATATATAAACATAACATATTTTTCTGAAATATATACATGCATTTGTGTGTATTTATATATACATAATAAATATATTGTACATAGCACACATACATATATTATGTAAACAAAAACTTTTATTTTGGATGCGATTAATCGCAATTAATCGTTTGACAGCACTATTTATAATACACCAGAAAAATAGAAATGGAATATAATAACATAATATGAAACAAATCACACTTTCACTGAGTGAATGTTATAAAAATGTTACATTTCACCTCCAAATGAATGAATAAATAAATACACAAACATAGGGTGAATAAAAACACAAACCTGGCCCATGATGTTCATGATGACAGGAACCACTCCATTCTCTTTGGTAAAGCCCTGGTAGGACATGTTCCTGGCTGACCGCTGCGTGCTGATGAACAGCTCACCGTTGGCCGTCTCAAATATAATGTACCTCATATCTGGCCGAATCCAGCAATTCGTCTGACCAAACATGGTTTCAGGCCTCAGAGTCGCAGCCACCAGAAAAACATTCTTGCCTTTAAGGCCACTGTAAACAGTTAGAAAACAAAAACCTTCTTTAAACAGAGTTCAAACAAAATGACTTACAAATACCATGTTTTTGGTACCATGGTCATAGCATGACATTTTTTAGAGTACCATGATACACGAAGATGACAATTATTCAATATCATATTATTATGAATCGTACCTCAATTTTGCTGGGTAAGGCTCCACAATCTTCATCTTAATCAGGGTGTACTCTTGAGGCCCAACTCCCTGCGTTATCGTTGGTATTTGAGAACAGATTTATTCTCACATGTTCTTCATACAGAAAAACATTTCTATTAATTGTCCACTGAATTATGCTATCTGTAGAGCACTGTCCATTTTCTTCCACGTGCGCGAGTGTTATGAGTCAGAGCGCGTTCTTTTTCTTCACATGAAATATGAAAGCAAATAGACATGATTATGACGATATATTTTCTGTATGTGTTTTGTATGCAGCTCACGGTGTTTTTATAGCAATAAAGGATGTTTATGACAAATATTAGCAGTGTAGCATTATTAAACATACAAAGAGTGTCTGCTTATTAATCAAAATCAACTATAGATCACAATCGGAAGTTATTACAAGCACTCATAATTACATACATTTTCAAGTGTAGCTTGATGCTAATTGTATTTCTAATTATATTTTAGGATGTAGCCTATTCTTGTAAGCATTATAGATGATCTATAGCATTATAGATCTGGTGTAGAACCTTGTTTATCTTAATTTAATGCTGTATATTGAGCAGCGGATGATGGATGGTAAATCCATATATGAGATACATATCTGAGGAAAAATGCATTGTTGGTCGGCGCCACCTAGCGTGCAGGCGTGAATTAGCAGAAGGCGAACGATCGTTTCGCGTTCGGTGTGAAAGCACCGTTTGTCGGCGATTCGCCTCACTTTTTCGCATCGCGCTCAGTGTGGAAAGGCCTTTACATTTCTGCAAAGATTATTGAACTTTGTGTTGTAACTATTGATTAATATGTAAAAATGCATTTCAATATTGTTACCATACCTTTTCCCAAACTTGATCTTTTTTCTCTCTTTCAGAGTGATGTACTGCCACCTCACAAAAGAGTCGTAGAAAGGGTTTACATCGGTCGTGATGAAGGAACGACGCCAATCAGCCTACAACATAAGTGAGAAAAACTTCATTTACAGACACAGGTGTCAAATCATGTTGCTTTAAATGCCAAACTACAAAGTGACGGCCAGAATTACTAATGTTCAGGTGAACTTTCACTACCTTTAGGCCCATTTTCTTCAGGTCTTCTACAGCAAGAGGAGGGAAATAATCCAGCCAATGTTCAGCTTCAGCAAACCTCACGATTTCTTCGTCCCGCAGCCCCAGAGATTTCATGATGTCCCACTGGAACTTGGAGCTTCCAGACTTCGCTACAGCTTTGCTCTGCCAATGACATCACATTCAAAAACGTACACTTTATTAGGCTTGCCGCGATAGACGGTGCTGACGGTGATACCGGTGTTAAGACGCAACACCGGTTACATCACTTGCCCACCGCGTCACCGACCCCCACCGTCGTTTTGATTTTTTTATAGTAATAAAAATCATTTAGTTCAGTAAAAGAACAGACACTACAATTAAAAACTGAACGCGGCTGCTCAATGCAGCGTGCCGAACGACAGTAGCGAAAGCGAGGAAAAGAGGGAAAATTCAAACGAACTAAAAACGAACAATTGCTTTACTCCAAATTGCCGCTATTTGAAAGTGAAAGTAAAATGCGCTCGCCGCTTTTACAAGCTATTTAAAAGTAAATGAAAGTGAGGAAAAGAGGGAACGCCCCCACGGTGATACGGGTTGTCACACGTCGATTAACCGTTGGGAAAATTTCCTCACCATCACAACCCTACACTTTATTAGCTTTAATTATTATATGTTAATACGCCATTCATAGCTCATGGATCAACCCTTGTGGGGATTCGGTCCTACAACATTTAGGTTATAATTTCCTCATAGCACACATTTACCTTTTTGCCCTTTGACTTGTCCTTGATGATGACCTCATCGGTGATCTTCTTCTGCTCTTCCTCCTCTTCATCTTCCTCAGGGAATTGCGGCGGGTTTCCATACAGCTCCATTTCTCTCTTCAGCTTGTCTGCACATGCCTGTTACACATAAAACAGATTTGTTGATGACAAACGTGTACAGATCTGAGGCGCAGAACTTTTAATCTACTCACTTTGATGGGCATCCCAGTACAATGAAGTCCAAATGGGAAAAGACATTGCTTTCCTTTCAGCCGCTGGTAACCTATTGCAAACTACAGGACATTGGAGATTTTAGCCGAATCATAATTGATATGAAATGATGTCTTTGCCGTCTTCTTTAACTGGATTTCAGACTCACCTCACACTTCGACAGGCAGAACGTATGTCCAAGGTGAAGTCTCCCATTCATGTACGGGTAAGGAAACGTAATAAAGTACTTGTTCTTACTGGGTAAACAGACAAGAATACATAACTGGTCATCAACAGAATCTGTACAACGTCAGAAAATATATTAAAACAGGCTCACTTTGTATTTTCCTCAGAGGTGGTTGGAGCATCAATCTCAAACATCTTTTCCTGCTCCCATTTCTGTTGAACTTCCTCCTCAATCTTCCTCAAGAAGTCAAGTTTTGCTGTTCCTTTGCGTTCCTGGAATGACACAAATTATGTATATAAACAAAACTTCCAGTTACGAAAATGGTGCATTTGATAAACTATACACTAGTACTTGTGTCTAGATCAGAACAGAACAGCAGCGGTGCGCATAAGCTCCATTCATATTACTCTGCCAACTTCATCCAACTTGCAAAAAAGTAAGTTAACAATGTTATTGAGTTCGCTCACTGTGTGGCTCGAACGGTTGTTCCTACTTTTCGTTCAGGACTCAAAGTACATAAGGGTAACTGAATAAGGGACACATTCGCATGAAGCTAACAGCTAAAGATAAGCCATGCTGCTCAATGGAGCGGTTTATTTCATTTTTTGTTGTTTGAGATCATGAAGCAGGCAATACTCTAAACCGCATGAAGTAAAGAGTGTAAACCACTGAAACGGCTTAGTGTAAATGAAATTTACCGTCATTCTGATCTATTCGCTGTAACTTCAGCAGGATTTGTTGAAGAGTGAAACCCACGCGCACTCGGCTGATGACACCGTACGGAAACGTCGCCGCCGGATGACGCTTTGTATCATGGGTAATGGAGTTCTTCTTATTATTATTCTCTCGAGTTTTTTTGGCGGATTGGCAAACCAACGTTAAAGGTGCATGTCCGCCACCTACTGGTATGGAGTGTGAAACGCACACGGTTCAGCTATGAATTATTCAACTATTATAGATTTTAAAAAAATATATTATAATAATAATAAAATAAAATAATAAAATAAACCCAATTTTTTTACGTAAATAAATACAAAATTCCAAACTACAAACTCTTTCCATTAATCTTGTCTTTTTTAAATACTTAGGGTAATGGAGTTCGTAGGGCCACAGTACGGTATCTCTCTCTCTCTCTCTCTCTCTCTTCTCATTAAGTATTTTTTATTAACATTTTGCAAGTAACATTTAACATTGGAAAACATACTGTTAAAGCATATTGACAATTGGACTTAACAGTGAGTAAAAACAATCAACATATACATACAGCGAGAGATTTAGAGTATAAACAAAGAAAACAAAATTAAAGTAAAATAAATGATTTAAAAATAAATAAATGAATGAAAGTAATCTATTTAATAATAATAATAGCAAGTAAAAATTATTAATAATAATAATAATACATGTTTTACATTTCGTTTTGACGCAAGTGAGGGGATTTGGAAAAATCATCTACACTTTCAGTCTCTATTTACATATGACTCAATAATCTTATTCAAAATCTGATGTTTCAACTGCTTTTTTGTTTCTTTTTAATTTACATAGGAAATCAGCTAAACTGATATGTATATCTATGCACAGTACAGTACACTTCCCCGGTTAACTGATCACTTGTAGAAGTCATAGCACAAATATCCCCAGAAAGCCACAGTAATAATAATAATTTTGTAATTTAATTTTAATTTGCCATATTGTTGTTGTTAGGGCGTGTCGTTTTTTTTTTTTTTTTCTTTTTTTCTCAGAGATATTACGAACATCCAAACATCAAACAGTCTAACTCTGATGTAAAACTCTCAAGAATAAAATTACTTAAAGTATGTAATAAGTGAGACAACAGAAAGGTAAAATAAAATAAATGAAATATAATAATATAATAGTTGGAAGGGGTGTTTTGTATTTTTGTAGAATAAATTACAACATTAAACGTTGTTACATTTCTTCTTATTATTTTTTTATGCATTTAGAGTTGGGAAAAAAAAAGTGCTGGAAAAAAAAAAGTGAAAGTACTTGGAGGAACGCGTAATAGCAAGTTAAAGCAGCTCTGTGATTGGCTGCCGTCGTTGCGTCATGACGTTGCGCAGAACCTCCAGCAGCTCCTCCGACGTGCTAGTGACTACAGAAGGCCCAGAGCGTGTTTTTAGACGATGCTAGTAGGAGTTACGCATAAACACCCAGCCTTTTATCAGTATTAATCAGTTGCGCGTCAGGATGATTATAGAAAATGTTGACGCTCTGAAATCCTGGCTGTCTAAACTTCTTGAACCCATGTAAGTGATGAACAGTGACATTTGAATCAGTAAAGCTAACTGGCGGCGCTAACATGCTAACCGCTTAGCTGGATTTCAAACCACTTAAGCGCGCAGCGAATAGTTATCGTTTCCTTTGATTTGGTGTTTAAATGACAGTTCAATTTTGTTGTATTCATACATAAGTTCATAATTCTAACACGCCTTCCAGTTAGAAACAATGTAGCAATGACAATGAGTGGGGTGGTCATCAAAACAGCCTGATAGTTTTCATAGACTGGGCCAAAACCGGATCAGGGCACAAGTTATTTTAGTTTTAAAGCCTTGGCATGTGTGATCAGCAGGCAGACAGTTTATTTTCGGAGTCACTAGTGTGTTTGGTGGTTGTTGCTGCATTAGCTGACAGCTTGTCATGTGTTTGATTTCTGTGCATCCTAGTAGACCTCTTGGAAAAGCTACTAGTAAACAACACTTATATTGTGGATTGTTGTTTTAGAAGACCTGCATGGATACACTTGACTTTTGAATTAGACAGGAGACTTATTGCATGTGTGGATTTACATGAAATGAACCTGAGATCTTTTACAGATGTGATGCTGACCCATCTGCATTGGCAAACTACGTCGTGGCGTTAGTAAAGAAGGATAAACCAGAGAAAGAACTCCGAGCATTGTGTGCGGATCAGTTGGACGTTTTCCTTCAGAAAGGTATAGGTAAAAAGTCCTCACATAGCTGTTTATTTTCAATTTAGAAACTTGTGAATAGCTGTGCACATAAGTAGGCGGTTATTAGTGAATTCAGGCCCTTTGTGTTTAGTCTCTTGTCGAATATGAATGATCTAAAAAGATTATCATGCACTTTGGGTATTTGCTGAATTGATTCATTGTTCTCTTCGTTTCACAGAGACTACAGGGTTTGTCGATAAACTCTTTGAATGTCTATCCACCAAAAATTATTTGGGAAATCCAGCTGCTAAAGAAGAGGGTAAAATCCCAGTGCAGAAGCTTGAGGAGAAGGAAGAGGTAAATAGTCAGTAATATAAAATAACAGCATAAGATATTTCTTGTTGTTTATAATCTTGTGAAATGTAAACTGTATTATTACACAGCTCTGTATGTAAAGTCGGGTACATAAGTGTATCCAAATTATACTGTATAATCGCATAAAGCGATATATACTACATAGCAACTGCTTGATTGTTTATATCATTGAAAAATGTAAACTGTATTATCGCCCAGCACTGATGCAACTGTAACGCATGATGATGTTATTAGCATCATGATTTTCTATAAAAAACCATGTGTATTGTTAAGGGCGCATAAAAATAAAATTAACTTGATTTGACATGTATAGTGGTGCACTACACTCCTCGATAGTCATGACAGATTTCTAGTGTAAATAAATAAATTGTGTTATCATTAACACATTTACATTTGTTTTCAGACGAGTCATGTTGAAGATGATAGGGATAACAAAAGAAGAAGAAGCCCATTAAGGAATCGTTCTGACTTAAATGAATCAAGGTTGGTCTTCAAAAGTGTTTCTTTTCCTTCTGATTGTGTTGGGTCTTGTGTACATATGTGACCCTGGAGCACAAAAGCAGTCTTAAGTCGCTGGGGTATATTTGTAGCAATAGCCAAAAAAAACATTGTATAGGTCAAAATTATTGATTTTTCTTTTATGCCAAACATCATTAGGATATTAAGTAAAGATCATGTTCCATGAAGATATTTTGTAAATTTCCTACCGTAAATATATTAAAACTTAATTTTTGATTAGTAATATGCATGGCTAAGAACTTCATTTGAACAACTTTAAAGGCGATTTTCTCAATATTTTGATTTTTTTTCACCCTCAGATTCCAGATTTTCAAATAGTTGTATCTCGGCCAAATATTGTCCTATCCTAGCAAACCATACATCAATGGAAAGCTTATTTATTCAGCTTTCAGATGATGTATAAATACCAATTTCACAAAATTGACCCTTATGACTGGTTTTGTGGTCCATGGTCACATATAAAGGTTACAGTTGTTTTTTATTCTTTAGTGTCACATGATCCTTCAGAAAGCATTCTAATATGATAATTTGCTGCTCAAGAAACATTTCTTCTTATTATCAATGTTGAAAAGAGTTGCGCTTAAAATTCTTCTGGAAACCGTGAAATATATATATTTTTTTCAGGATTCTTTGATGAATAGAAAGTTGAGAAAAGCAGTATTTAAAAGAGAAATTCTTAGTAACGATCTAGAAGTCTTCACTGTTACCTTTTAGGGTTGTGACGGTGAGGAAATTTTCCCACCGGTTAATTGACGTGTGACAACACCGTTAATCACCGTGGGGGCGGGGCGTTCCCTCTTTTCCTCGCTTTCCTTTGCTTTTAAATTGCTTTTAAATAGCTTGTAAAAGCGGCGTGCGCATTTTACTTTCACTTTGAAATAGCGGCAATTCGGCGTAAAGCAATTGTTTGTTTTTATTTAGTTTGAATTTTCCCTCTTTTCCTCGCTTTCCGTCGCTTTTAAATAGCTTAAAAGCGCCGTGCGCATTTTACTTTCACTTTTGAATTAGCGGCAGTTCGGCATCAATTGCTTGAATGCAACAACAAAATACAACGTCAAACTCACTTTAGCCTATATATAAAACATAGAACTCCTCAAATTATTCCATGAAACTTCCATTATGTGTAAAAACCCTTTCACACCAGACATGAGGCAGTTAGAGCTGTCCAATGTATATCAAATTCACTGTTCAGTAACACGCAGTATCTAAACGTCTCAACTCAGGGCTAGAGATGACCGCAGGAGAGACGACCGTAAGCGGCGGGAACTGGACCGTCACGGAAAGAGCGGAGAATCATACCGAGACCGACATGAGCGGCGAGGAGGAAGCTCACGGGGGAGAAGCTACAGTCGAAGCAGGAGTCGTAGCCGCAGTAGCAGCCGTGGAAAGAGCCGAGAAAGAGAGCACAATCAGAGGAGAGGTGAGGACCATCCCAAATCACTTCTGTCACTTTACTTTTACCTACACTTAAGTTTTTTTTGTGTGCAACAGAGTGCTTAGAAATGTATTTCATTTAAATGGGTAATTGTTCCATAATATGATGCTAGTTTTTTTGGCCAGATCTATTATTTAATTCTTAAACGCATAAATAAATGAAATTCAAACATGGAAGAACTAGGGGTGTGTGATATTGACAAAAAAGATTTTTTGTCTTTAAAAATTTGAGATTTTATCGATAACGATAATTAGACGATATTTTGCTGAGTGTGTTATTGTGCTGTTATCTTAAGGACTACCATGGGCAGCTGACTCCTAAAGTTTTTGATATTCTTCATATTCTGTGTGGTGGTCCGTTCACACTGATAGAAGTTAATCTTTTCCAATAAGTTTAATTTTATTTTTACCTCTTAATGTGCATTTTTACCTTTTATAAAGCCATTTTTTCTAAAAGTGTGCATTATCTTTTGAGTCAAATTCTTACATTTAATCAGTGAATTAGAATAAGACATTTGGGCTGTTATCTAGCAAATGAAATCAGTTTAAATAAAAT